GGGGGGACGTTGATTGCCCACTCGTGCGCCCGTCCACCCAACCGCCTCGACTCGCCAGGCCTGGAGTGTTGGACGCGTTCCCAGTTCGGGGACAATGGCTTGCCGATCGCTCTTCGACGGGTCTCCGGCAAGGACGGTAGCGCAACGCTTCATGCACCACCTGAGGGAGTGACCTTGCAGCCCGAAGGCGTGGGCGTTCTGCCTCAACACGGCGAGTCCGATCAGATGATGGTTGACTTGATGTATCTACCGCGTGGCTGCTGTCTTCCACATTAGCGACTTTGATTGTGGCGTTCGCGCGATGTTATTTGCCTGGCATGTCGAGACCAGCTCGTGTGGCATAAGCATGGTAAAATGGCGCGAGCTGAAGCACTATCAGTGGAGATGACTTGAGTGTCGGGGCAGAGTCATTCAAACCAGGGCCGAGACCTCGAACGGCGGGACAGTCGAAACTCCAGAGATTAGGTGCCGCTGTACCGATGGAGACGAGCGCCCACTGAGGAGCGGGTATCCCCAGGAAAATGGTGGCAGTGTTTGCCCACTTGAACCCCCCGTTCGGAGCCTGTATTACGAGAGAAACTGCTGTTAGCGTGCGAATGCGTTCCGTGTCCAGCGAATTGGCCTCGTCTCGTCTCCCCCATTCGAGCGCTGTGTTTTAAGGTTGCGGGGAGGATACTGGGACGCGTGTGGCCTCGCAGTGCTGTGCTTGGCAGTTGACAGTTCTTGTCGCGGTCGTTCGTCAATCGCCGCTGGCGTTCGCGATGTCGTTGAAGAGCATTTGGACATTGCGACGGTCCGGCAGTTGCGTACAGTGACGACATGATGCGGCTCAATTGCCCGTAGGTTCGGGCGCTTGTGTGTTTTTTGCTGCGGGAAGCATACGGTAGACAAGGGGAAGCCGTCGCCAAGGTCCTTATCTCCTCCCTCTTTGGGCACAGCGTCAACTGCCAGCAAGCTTGGGCGGACCTTGGCGATCAGTAACACTCTTGGAGTCCGATCCCGGCTGTTCCGAAGGATTGGGTGCAAGTGCACATTCGCTCGCCCTCGGAGGAGCTTATCGCGCGCCGTGCTGGACATGACAGCTTGCGTCCAGAAACGAGCATTTGGTCGAACGCTTCAGCGTTAACCAGCCGAGGTGATTCGCTGGATACCAGGTAACAGGCAGAGAGAAGACAAGAGGACGCGACAAAGGAATTGACCGGGTTACGGCCGATACGACTTTGCCATCCCTGTCCTTGCGTGAGGAATTAAGAGCTTCTAGCGTTGTTCTTTCATACTTCCTCGTCGTGATCGGGGCGGCATGTGGCCCCTCCAGCCGTAAGCTCAGACCTGTGCGTAGGAAGCATCCTACTGCGGGAATTCTGGTAATCGTAGGGACCGCCATTCGCTGCTGCCAACCTGAGCGCTCGAGTCAGGCCAAGCCCGTTTGTGTGACAATATTTGGTTGGTCATTGAGCAGGTCGTTCGCTCCTCGAGCAAGGTGAGGGTCGGTTCTGCTGTCCGATCCGGTCTCTGACCATCCAGTGATCGGCTGCAAGACGTGAGACGCCTGCTAGTGTGTACCGTGTGGCTTAATGGCTACATGGCTGCACGAAGATTCGCCCATCGACGTCACGGGCTTGAACGGATGAGCAGATGGCTGAATGGTGGCGTCCGATGAGCTTGGGGAAGCCTGTTGGCTCAGCGTCGGAAGCTGTGCCATTGTTGGCATACAACGGGCCATCTCGTGACGCTGGAAGTAGCCGAGGCCGAGGCCCTTGCCATGGGCACCCTATAGCGATTCGGTCTCCACGCGGGAGGGGCGAAATCTTACCCCCGTTCCAGGCCATGAATGTAGGAGCCGGAGTTCCGAGTGGGATCCTGTCAGTGGCTGCACCACCATCTGCACCAACCCAACAGGTGTGGTGGGTGTTGAGTCTCGACAGAAGTGTGTGCGGGGATGTCGAGACACGTGCTTCATAAGGGTCTACCAAGTACAGTACGTGTCACCAGGGGACAAGAACCCGAGGAGCCCCAGTCACGTGGGCGAGTACATATACATCATAAGCACTTGAGTGGGGTAACGTACCTTAAACTTTTGAGCTGCGAAAAGGCCCCACGACTGTCTCAGAGGAGGGAGGGTGACAAGCACAAGCATCAGCAAGCTGCTGAGTGCATCTCTGGGCATACGCCTCACTTCTGTACCTCTTCGATGCATCCGGGTTGAAAGACCAATAGAATCAGTTCGTGAAGCGGAAGCGTTCCTCTAAATGAATGCAGAATTTGCAAGCTTCGCAAGGCATCTCGCCCCAAACATTTTTTCGAGGGCTGCGATGGTTACAACGCAAGCTGTTGACAGAAAATCTGGCCCACATACTATCACCCATATCTACCAACTAGTTATTCTACCCTCCATAACCACCACATCCCTCATCCGTTGCAGCATTAAATAAATCCAGTAATTTATACGTTCTGGATTCACCATAAAGGTAGCAGCCCCTAGATTTTATAGGTGTATTATGGTGTAATAAATCGGTCATTTTAGTTGTTCTAGTAGTGTTGTTAGGTGAAGGATTTTACGAGGGCCAGATTTTCTGTCGACAGCTTGCAACGCTGACGATCGAGCTCTATAGTTCGCGGTTCATGGCCTGGTACGTCGTGATCGCCATCCCCCAATGAATATAGCTCCCATGGCCTGTGTCCTAGTTCATCACAGTAGGCATTGTCATCTCGTAACTCTTACGCCATCCTCCACACTCCGCACACGTCACCCGCAAAATCCACTTCACGCTGGACGGACGGACAGAACGGGCTAAACGCCATTCCCCCACACCCGCCGCATCTGGCTGCCACGGGCTCGAAACAGCGCCGCAACAGCGTCCACAAAACGATTGCAAACTGCATTGAACTACAAGTATCGGTCCTGATGCGGCCCTGTCAGACATGCGAGCTAAATTTAAGGGGCCGTGGCTGCCGCCTGAATGCGCAGAGCAGCCTGGTGGAAGCTCGTCCCGACGGCTTGCCTCGGACAGGGAGTTACGTGAGCGTTTGCAGAATGATGAGCCGCGACTGACAATTGCCCCCAACACATCATCAGCTGCCAGGGGCATGCATGCGGCGCCGGATGGTTAGACGTAGTCCTTTGGTTCTGTCGCTGGACACAGCCGCCGTCAAGTGAGAGAACAGCAGGCATGCTCTGGCTGCGTTTGACGATTCGAGTCGTTGCGCAAGTGGTGACTAAAACGCCAAGCCCATCACTGTCACAAAGCCGGGACAGACCGCCGAACAATCAGGTGGCTCGGATGACGATTCCGATGTAGCTCGGGAGGCTACTGTTTGGCTTTGGTCGGACGAGTAGTAGACCGCATTGTTGCGGGCTACACCTCGTGCTCCCGCACACTTGTACAGTTCTCTCCTCGGCTAACCGGAGGTACGGCTTGTATAACGTCACCAATCTTTGACTATATGCATCGTTGCATCTGCCTTTCATTGACTACGGATCGTACAGAAAAAAGCAACGCGCGCTGCCTATTTCTCAAAACGGCTGGCAACGGCCTTCCAGTTGACGACATTCCAGATGGCGTCAAAGTACTCAGCCTTTCGGTTCTGGTACTGCAGGTAGTAGGCGTGCTCCCAGGCGTCAATGCCCAGGAGAGGCTCAAGGTTGCCGGTAATAGGGTCCTGGTTGGCACGAGTGACAAGGCTCAAGGTGCCACTTGTCTTGTCCTTGACGATCCACGCCCACCCACTGCCCTGGATGCCGGCGAGGGCCGCGTTGGTCTGCTTGCGAAGCGTATCAAAGGAGCCGAAGTCCTTGGTGATGGCTTTCTGCGGGGGGGTCTGTCAGCGAGTTGTACGGCAGCGAAAAAATGGCGATATGAAAGAGAAGACTTACGGCCAGAGCGCCGTCAGGTTCGCCGCCACCGTTCTGGCTTGCGGGCGCGAGGTTCTCCCAAAAGAGCGAGTGATTGAGGTGACCGCCGCCGTGGAAGTTGATGAGGGGCGCCTGCGAGGCAGCCTTGGTGTAGTCACCCTTGGACTCAGCCTCGGCAACCGTCTCGAGAGCCGTGTTGAGGCCGTTGACGTATGTCTGGTGGTGCTTGGAGTGGTGCAGTTCCATAATCTGGCCCGAAATGTAGGGCTCGAGGGCGCCATAGTCGTACTGCAAGTCAGGCAGCGTGGCCTTGCCGCGCACAAAGCTCGCACCGGCGAGGGAAGCCGTAGACGCAGCCCGGGTGCGCAGGGCGGCGCGGACAGCGGGTGTGCTGCGGAGTAGGGTGGACGACATTATGATGTGATGGTTTTGTTCGGGATCTGATGTTTGGCAGGTCGAGTTAGCTTGCTCGTCACGCGCAGGTACGGACTGCACCCAAATCAATCAGAGAACGGCTGGACTGACACTTAAGTATTGTACAGCGATCAATTGAAGCTGAGCAAGGTCAACAGTGCAGAATTGTGATTGAGTCGAGAGCAAGCTGCTTTGACCGAGGGGGACAGGTTCGGAATTTCGAGTCGCTCCAGCTCGGCTCCACTGATGACATGTTTCGTCATCGCCGAAGAAGTATGGCGCAGGCCTGAGCTCCCGCCTCGATCAATGCTTGCTAAGCAGGCGCCGTGGCTGGTGCCCGCGGAAGTCGTGGTGGGCCCAGTGCACAACGCGTCTCGCGCCTTCGCCTCAACCTCTATCGCGACCGACAAGACGTGATCGTCATTTGCACATTGCTAAGACCGAGCCGAGCGCCGTCCCTTCGCCCGAGATGTACTACGATATTGATGCCATTTTGATGGATGCAGAGGTGCGTTGCCGTTATTCCACCCGTTGACGCCCGAGGTGTCGACAAAGCCACGATCTAGAACACACCTGACTCTGGCTGGCAACAGAAAGTCCCATGTAAATTCGAGATCGACCTTGCCGATCTCGGCTACCTCGATAACAGCCCTTCGCATGCCTTGAAAGCCGGTTCTCAGCTCCAGTTACCATTGTGGCTGGCCGAAATGCTCGCCCTCAAGGATCAGAGCGCTCCAGAAGACACAAAGTCCCCCGTGACGCTGAATCTGCCTAGTACTGTCTCTGGCCAAGTCGTCTCTGCGTTGAAGGCCGACCCGCGCGCCGTTCCCTTGCGCGATCAGAGCGCGCATTTCTACGGCGTTGGAATCAGAATGCTCGAGTTGTTTGATGAGCGCGATCTCGGGACCGTCTTGAGAAAGACCTACGTCACACGTGCGGCCGACATTGCGCTGCACGCAAGGAAGGCAGGTGACGATGGTGTCGGAGGGTCGAGCGGCGAATTCTTGCGGGGGTTGGATGAATGGGAGCGTTCGCTGTTCCGTAAGGCGCACGAAGGTACCAAGGCTTCAAAAGAATGGTTAGAAAATGTCAAAAAACACTGAGGATTGGTACGTCAAGGGCATGACGCGATGCAGTATACATTGCATACTCACTGACTCGGGGACAGGATACAGCTACGATTTATGACATGACGAGAATCACGTATACGCAACGAAACGAGCATCGCGATGTGCTAAGCACCCGCGTGAGGAACAACTAATAATGGCATACAGACCAGGCCTCTCAAGAGCGCCCATCGACGCCCGCCACAACACGTAACAGTAAGAGAAGAAGAATGCAAGAGCAGTTGGCTTCCACATATAACTCCTCGTCGATTCCCCGTGACAGTCTCTAGGCCGCATCGGCAATCAGTCCACGGCAGGTCTTGATGTCAATTAATTGAATTGGCTCTCAGGATCCTCAACTAGCCGATGGCGCGAAGGGAAGAATGCTATATTTTTTCGACACGTCCAAAAGAAGTGCGCTCGCTGGCCAAGACCTTGCAGCACAATAGGCGATATCAACAAGGCTAGATCTCATCCAAGCCTTTTAGAGCTTGCCCGTTTGGTCTATCCCTGATGTAGTATCTGTTCTTGGCCTTTTCAGCAGCTTCAGACCCTACCGACCGGTAAAGGCCCAGGCTGGAATCAAGACTACATTCGCTCATAGTATCGAGCCGTGGCTGCTCTCCTTTTGCATCGCCATCAAGTCCTTGTTGTGCACAGTGCCGGGCCTAACAAAACCGGCTCGGCTCGGGGGCGGCGACGAACTATTCAGCGTCTATGATTGTCTACCATCGCCTGCCTTCCACCCCAAAGGCTCTCGCAACCGGATATCATGCGCACAGTACTCTAAGCATTCGCCTTCAACACGAGAGCTCTGCCTGAATACTATCAAGTAAGCATTTGGTTGGACTTGCTTGTCATCACCTTCCCTTCTGGGGGCCCCTGTTCGGCTCCGCTACTGATCCCCTGGTGCAGCGATGTTCTAGATGCGCCGATATGCGGCACGAGAGTCGGCCCCGGTGTTGTCGACTGGCGGAGTTCCGTTCAATATTCTCTATACGAAGCAGAGTCGAGATTCAATCATGTTCTGCGGTTCTCACTGCGATGCTTTAAATACCCTGCCTGACAACACCAAGATTGTGGCTGAATACTGAGAGAACAGGACATCAAGACACACATCCAACAAAAATCACCATGTACATCCAACTACCCACTCTAGTTGCTGCGCTGCAGATCCTCCCGGTTGCTTCGGCTGCTGGCTTTCACCTTTTTGACCGACGCATGACGTGGAACTACGAGGATTGTCAGGACGGCTGCCCCAAGAAGTCGAGTTGCTGCGGCAACATCTTCACCGCAGTAGAGGATGTGTTGCTGATTCCAAGTAATCAGTACAACTGCGACACGATTCGCAACAAGGTACGTCCACCACGAAACACAAAGGAAGAGCTTGGAGACTGACTGCAATAGAATTACATTGAAGGCCCCGAAAAAACAAGCCACATAGGACGCGGCACCGTTATCAAGGGACAATGTGGTTCTCGGTCTCTTACACTCTACCCCGTGAGCAATGGCAACGAGCTAGAAATCTGGGAGTCGGGCGGCAGCAAAATGTACGGAAAGTGCTATCGTCAGGATGGTGGCAAGAAGCTCGCATGTGACGACAATGGCGGCCTCGCCTGTCGCGGCATCGAAGGCGAGCCGAAGCAGGGGTCCTGCAAGATTTCCGCGACGGATGTTTGGGTGTGTCCTGTCAACCTATGCTAGATATTCGTCATGCCATCGGGGCAACAAAGCTCAAGAGGGAAGACAGGATGCGTCCTCGTCTAGGCTGCTAGTCGGGGGAAAGCTACACTCAAGGCATCCAGCCTGGGACACTGCGCCCAACGTTGACCCAAGTCTGCTCCCTGCTTCTCAGTCGTAGCAAATACACACTCTACCAGAACGAAGCTATGCCCGACCTTAAGTGACCCAGTAGCATTCTCCGTGACTGGGATTAGGGTTCGTTGACAGGCAATGTTCGTATTCGCATCAGGCTTGAGGGCATGGCTCCTGGCAGAAATCGGAACACCACTGCTGGACGTGTAGGACACGATGCCGCTTGCGCCAGCGGAGGAGAGCACCAAAACTGACATTTCGTCCTCTAGAATACCTTCATCTGGGCACTTGCCGGCTGTATGGTCAACGGCCGGCAGGCCCCGGCCCGAACCTGTTCTGCCCATTATGGCAAATCCACCGGCGACAATGTGAAGGCTGTCTAGGGGTGTGTTCGCTGTGATTTGGTGGATTCTGATGTGCCAATCGGGCCAGGCATTCGCTGGAGGAATCAAAGTCGTCTCGACCTCAACTGCCCCATCGCCCCAAGGAAGCCATGTGACGCGCGAGACCTGGACGTCGACGCCGGCGAGAACGAGCTGAGGGAACGCCACCACTCCGCACTTCCATTTTCCAGCCCACGTTTCTCTGCCATCACGGCTCAGTAAAATCGTGCTGTCCGGTGCCAACTGCGCAAGCAATGGGCCAGTCGGGACGGAGAAGGCAAATGTCGATGAATAGGCCAGTTTACAGTACTTTGCCTGATTAGCCTTCATTGGCCAAGCAACAAACTGACCAGGTGACAGCATGAAGTGATGGTTCCCTGTAGGATGGTTGCAGAGAATTTGCTCGGGTGCGGGCAATAATGCTGTGCCTGGACCGAAATCAGGGTATGGTTGCTCTTCGGCCTGCCAAAAGTCGTGATCCTCACATATTCCGACCGCGATAAGGGTCTTCAGACACCAGTATGGGGACTGCGGGGAGTTATAATCTTCACTCATGTACATATTCCTATTCAAGTCAGCTGGTGTCGGTGAACGCAGTGTGTCACATACGGATAGAGCCATCCGATGCTGAGCGTGCCATCGGTGTTGAAGATGCTGGTGGAGTGTCGCGCCCACCATCTGAGATGCCGTAGAAGAAACCCTTTAATGGCCCCAGGGTTGTCGAGAGGTGCAGGCATGTTAACGACGTCGGCAAATGCGAGGGCTGAAAAGAAACCGCCACAGGCGAATCGGTATGTGAGTGACCTTCCGAACGGAATAGCAGCACCTTTTGATGGTTAGCGCTCATCCAACTCAGAGTGACACAAGCGCAAGCCGTACCATCAGCGTCAAAGTAGCGCCAAAAACCAACACCAAAGTCCCTCGCTCGTTGACGATAGATCTCGGCTCGGCTAGGGTCGATGTCTGAGCCGAAACGTACAAAAAGTAATTGACTGAATTGAATGGCGAAGCTCCCCGAGTAGTAGTCAGCCTGACGCCCAATGCCGATGGTATCCCGCCGCCCCGTCTCTTTGTAGGCTTCTACTTCACTCTCGGCTTGCTCTGGCGTCTGCCAGGGCCCATCGGCAGACCATCCATCTAGGCGGTAAAATGTGTCAAGCAGTTCCAGGTCAGCTGCCATCTCCTTCTGTACAGTATCGAGTGACAATCCGCAAACTTTGACCAGCGCTAGGTTTGCAAATACACGAAACCAGCGCCAGTTGTTCTTCGGCATGGGCTGGTGATGGAGTTGCCGAAGCCAGTTGGTGATATTGTGCTTTGATCGTGCATCTAGTGATCCGTATGTGCGATCCGGAGCTGCAAGCAAAGAAAACGCCAGAATCTCGGCTTCAACCATGCGTTGATCAGTGTCGTGAATCTCGCCCCAGTAGTCTTCGTGGTCCGGGTCGGTTCCTGTGACGAAACCATCGATCCACGGCTGCACAATCTCATCAACCAATGCAGCTTCTCTCGGATCTGACGCTCTCGCTATGAGTAGTGCACCGACCGCCCATAAGGGCCGCGCAAAACCCTCCAACTGTGCGGCCCCTTCGTCGAAGTGTGCGGCTGTCGACACAGGGACGCGCACGCGGCCTTTGCCCGAGGAGAAGCATGATACAAGCGGTCGGAGCAACGCAATTGTGGCCTGGACGAGGTCGGCCCGCGTACGCAAGGGGTTGTCGGAAAATCCAGGCAGGGGCGGCATTCTGTTTTTGAAGAGCTTTGGACTTTTTGCAGTCAGGGTCACGTAGTGTGTGGGAAGCAGCCACACTTATATCTTTGAAACGAGGAGGCCACTCGAGCGGCTGTGGGTCACTAGCATCGGGTTTCGGAACGATTTCGAGGCGATCGGTACAAGTCAACAAGTTCTACTGGGATCAATTTGACAGTCTTCTGGCGTAACGGAGCGGGAAGACTGGGTTGTACCGGATGAAAGTTCTCAACTCTGTCTAGAGTTGAGCCTCAATCACGAAGCCTGACTACATTGCGTTCCCGCAGTTACTGTTTCTCAGAACAAGTATAACTAATTCCCCTCTCACCATGATCCTCCATGGATGCGACAAGAGTGCCACAGCAGCACTTCACGCCATGTGCTTCACATCCGCCGACATCTCAGCCTTCAGGTTATCTTCGTCTAGGGCAGCCTCGGCCGCCCTCTTCTGTCGCCTCTCCCAGCGCCGGTGCACCAAGTAGCCGATTGTAAGCAGCATCCACGACCCAAGAATGAAGAAAAAATTGACGATGTAGCCCTTCTTCCAACGAGGCGCCTCAATCACGGGGAAGGCGACAAGTGGGTAGAAGGAGTTGACGGCGAAGCCCAAAGTCTGGCTGCATTAGCACTGCACAATGCCAGTCTCATACATGAAAAAGACTTACAATCATGCTGCCGTTAAAGAAGGCACGCGCCTCGGCCGAGTCCTTCAGCCACCAGTTGACGGATGGCACAAGAATCGGTGTAACGGCGGCAGTCATGCCGAACAGGTAAAAGCAGACAAACTTGAGGTCGTGAGGGATAAACCACACCATCATACAAACGTTGGCAAACATAACCATGGTCATTACAATGTTGAAGATGATCCAAGTTGGATATACCATGCACAGCGACGTGGCCAGAATTGTGCCGACGACTGACACGCCCTGCGCTCCTGTGGGAATTGTGTTGATCTGGGGAATCGTGTAGGTTCCATGCGTGTCGGCGAGATCCTTGAGCCAGATCGCCATTTGACCGTGAGGATAGGCACCCGAAAGGAAGAGAACATAGGCTAGAACGCCGATGTACCAGTGCCAGCGGCAGAAAATACGCCTCAGCAAGGCCTTTGTGATCTTCTTCGGCGCCTCAACGCCAGCCTCGCGCATGCGGAGCTGGCCAAGCTCGTGCTCTTTCTCAGTCATCCACCAAATTCTACCGCTCTGCGGCATGCCAGGGAAGATGAAGAAGCCGAGAATCGAGAGGGGCAGCGAGATGGAACCATCAATGATGAAAAGCCAGCGCCAACCAGACATGCCGTGCACGCCGTTGAGGTTGGTGTAGGCGGCAGCTTGCAGATAGCCGCCAAACATGACTCCAATATTATTGGATCTGCCTCGTCAGATTCGGCTTGAGATGATGCCAGGGGCGGTGTGACTCACACATACCACAAGCCGGCGCGCTTGAATAGCTCTTCCGGCTTGTACCACGAGGACAAAATGAACAGGCAGCCCGATGCCACAGGTGTCTCCAGAATTCCCAGCAAGAAGCGTGTGCCGAAAATCTGTGGTGCGCTCTTGAGCTGGGACTGGGCGAAAGTGAGAATGCTCCACGCAACCTCGCAACTCGGTAGAAACCAACGAGTAACTTTAGGTCTCGAGAAGAACAACATGGCGGGGATCTGGCAGATAACATAGCCGAGATTGTAGAACATGGGAAACATGGAGTATCTGTCAAGTGTCAGTCGCTGAGCTTCGAGGCGCGAAATTATCGTCCAAAACGTACTCATTTCCGTACAACCCGAGTTCCTCCTTCATGCCCGAGACATAAGCGCTGTTGATGTTGGACTGATCGAGCCACTTGAGGAAGAAGGCGATGCAGGTAAAAGTTAGAAGGAAAGCATCGAGCTTGCGCAAAAACTTTCTTTCCTCCTTAGGGTAATGAGACGGATACCAGTCAAACATGTACATCCACGCGATCCACAGGGACCGCTTGGGCGCCTCCTTGACCTGGCGCTCCATCTGAACCTGCTGCCCGGCTTCTTCTGCAACAACCGACGCAGCGACTGCCGGGCCGATGATGTCTTTGACGACTGGCTGCCCGGCTTTGGCTTCCTCGTGTTCCGCCTGGAGCGTGTTTGCGTCCGCGCCATGTGCTGATGTTGTCGCGGCCATGATAGACGTGCGGCGAGCTTGCTTCGAACAGGATCGGAGTTGTCGTTGATGGGCTCTTCCAGTCGCTTTATCTTTCAAGTGCCCCTTCACAGCAACTCACTCTGCCATCCCAACTCCCGACCCGACGCTTGACTCTTCCACTGGTGCGGCAAGCCAACCGGGCATCGGGGCAATGGGGGCCGGGAAGCTTAAACAGGCGCAGATCACCAGGCCCCGGCCCCCCTGAACACGGCATTCCCACAACCACCCCGCACTCTGTTCTTGCTCTGACCCGTCTTCCCCGGATCGACGACGCCCTCGTACGACAGAGCTGTCTAGCGGGGTCAATGTTACCTTCCCCCGCTCGACGCCAGGTCCTACGCACAATGAGATCATTGCATCTGGGTCTGCCGAGATTGAAAAGACCAGAATCGCCCCTCGCCGCTCGCTTGATCGCCCGGCCGCAGATTCTCGCGACTGCCCGCTACCTCCAGCAGACATGGTGGCCGTCATCCTGCGCATTCAATCAGCCCGGCACCCGAAAGAAAGAGCGACATGATGGAAACCCAAACAACGCCGGCAGAGATTGCAGGCATTGCAGGGCCCGAGGTTGACGTGCCGTCCTGCCAGGGGTGTCGTCGGCGAAAACTCAGGTGCTCCCGCGAGCAGCCTACCTGCGCACACTGTAGCCGTCTTGGTAATATTTTCGGGGCTGGGCATGCGGTGCTTCACTGACTTCAGTAGAGTCCCCTTGCATCTACGATCTCAAGAGGAACAAGCCCGGGATTAAGCCTGGGGCTGTTGGAAGCCTAAGTCGACGAGTCGGTACGTAGCGCCGTCACTAGATTGCGGATGTAGCAGCTGAGACAGTAACAGAGGCTTTGGAAAATACTCTCTTGAAGCAAACAGAACGCGGTGCACCAACATGCGGCTGCACACAGGGGGATCACCATCCTGCTGAACTGATTGGCGAGGCTCCCAATGTTCTCGGAGTGCTTTCCCTCTTGGCCCAGGAGCTGCACAAGCTCAGTGCGCAGACACGGCCGCCGCCACCTATCGTCGAGGCCATCGTGCCGTCACCCTCGGTCTCTCAAGGGTCCGGCCGGATCGCGGTGGATGGCCAGACTTTTTCGGCCGAGTCACCCGGGCGGCCTCGAAAGCGGCGCAGAGTTGACAGCTGCGGCAATCCGACCATTGAGCTAACTTTTGCCCTCGAAGATCTAGAAAACATCAGCACAAACCTACCGCCCCCGGCCCTGCTCGAAGATGTAGTAAACGCCTACTTTGGCCTTATCCAACCCTGGATACCCATGATTCATGAGACCCAGTTTCGCGCACGCATTCATGACCCCGGACAACTCCCTGGCCTGGTCGTGGTACTCCATGCCATGGTTGTCGCAGCCCTGCGATTCGTCGACAGTGCGGGCATGGGCCTCCCCCAAGCCGAGCTGAAGACTCGCGCGACTAGATCTCGGAATATTGTCATGCTGACTGCAATGGACCATCTCTCTGTGGAGAATCTGCAGGCGCTTATCATTGTAGCTTTCAATGACGTGTGTTACCAATCCGTAAGAGATCTTCAGATGCTCAGCTAATCACACATAGATTGGACACGGTGACTCGGCCAAAGCATGGTCAGTCATCGGGTCACTGACACGGACGGTCGAGTACGTGCAGCTCAGTGTTGAGTCCGATCTCGACGGCAAGGAGCCTCTGTTGAAGCCCTTGACAACCATACCCGCCCCCGTCAACTGGACAGAGGAGGAGCAGCGAAGACGTGTATTTTGGAATGTGTTTTGCCTCGACAGGTGAGTCATGCCTGTGCGTGCAACTTGACGAAGCTGATAGAGTTAGATTCTGCTCTGTAACAACTGGGTAAGGTGCTCCCTAGAGAAACTGATAGCACAGACTTACAACGCCAGATGGAATACGAGTCTGACATCAGACGATGTGCAACGCAAGCTCCCGGCCGACGGAGGACTGTGGCACAAAGAAGAGCCGGTCACAACACCTTACTTTGGCATTTGGGATCGATCGGCTGCCAAAATCGGCAAGTCGATCGCTTTTCTACCCGGTCATAGCACGGCACCCGCTTCAGAGACGCCTTTGGCATCCTCAAACACCGGCGCAAACAGCGGCCCTAATACTGTAGATATGACAACAGTTGGTGCATTTGCCTATTGTATCGAGGCAACAGAGTCCCTCAGCAGGGTGACGACGTACTTTCTCCAGCAGAAAATTGACTTTCAGGACCGACAGGAAGTCAGCAGCTGGCTCACCAGATTCAAGGAGCTCGATCTGCGTCTCGTCCAGTTAGTTGCCCGCCCTCGTACTTATACTTGTGCTGATGGACATGTCACAGCTGGAAGATGTTCCTACCCCAGAAATGGAAAGATTCCAACATATCACGCCAGCCTGCCCTCATTAATATGGACCCAAACCTCACGCTCGCGCACGTCACACATAACACATCGATGATCCTACTACACCAAAGAATCGCCTACCCTGACAATCGGTGGTCAAACATCGTGAAGCTTCCCAGCTTCTGCAGCGCCGAAACCTGCCAGGTTGCCGCGTCAGAGACAGCGACCATCACTCAAAAGTACCTACGCTACACGCCACAGAACGGCCCTGTCACCAGCCAGTTTGCATTTTGTGTCTTTGTCAGCGCTCGTGTTCTACTCGGTAGGTCTCTCGTACCTCTTCATCCCACCAAAGCTAAGTGGTCAGTCCATTGGCGGCATTATGATGCCGACTTGAGCCCAGAATTCTGGGTTTTGGTGCAGAATCTTGAGGAAATGGCCCGGCGCTGGATGGGCCACTTGCGGGAACAGCCTTTACCTTGTCTAGCTGGCAAATATGCGCTTCAGCTGAGAGACCTCCACGCCAGATGCCAAACGAACCCCGACACAACCTTCGACGTTCTGGGATACTCAGATGGCACGCTGGGGCAGACGCCCGTGACAGCAACCGTGACAGATCCAGCCGTGAGCACGCAAGCGGAACAGGATGTTTCGCCGGCGTATAACTCACTTTTACACGGTGAATCTCTGCAGCCGTCTGAGCAAGAAGTTAGCTTCGTGATGCCACGCTGTCAAGACTTGGCCGCCATCGGATCTGCCAAAATTCCGAAACCGCCAGGGCCTTCCGGCCTCACGCCCCAAGGATCAGAGGACCAGCCTGATGAGCTGTCCACGATTTCTCACATGTTGATGGACCAACGTTTTATGGACATGGATCGCGTTATTAGCTTTGATGACATGATGTTCACGGCCCAAACAACCAGCCCGCGCCAGGCTGCCTTGGCATGGGGCGCGATAAACTCTCAGCTGTAAAGGGGCTTCTATTCGTCCATGACGACAACTGTACAGATATGATGTGGCGGCTAGACTAAACCCATCTTTAAGAGCCTATTTCCGAATTCGATTAGATAGTAATCCCCATAAACCAGGCCGTGGTCCCAGTAACGTTTATGGTCCTTCGCGTTGTGATTCGCCGTGGCGTTCTTGAGGACGGCATCGAACCGCTTGCCCGGCGCAACGTCAGACACAGCAATGGCCTGCTCGTTATAGTTCAACCGTGCAAGCTCAGGGGCTAGCGAAAAGGCCAACGTATCCTCGACCATTGTAACGGCCATGTCAAGGAATATCTTGCTCTTCGCTACACTGCCCACGGAAGCCAGTGCCTGTGACAGTACTAGCATACCGTTGGCGGCAATGACACCAGCAGAAGAGTCCCGCAAAGGGTTTTTCTCGTTCTCTATCGGCGCGTCAAAATCCCAGAGCGGAACGTAACGCCCCTTCACTCCGCCGCCGGGAACCTGCACCTCGACGAGCGCTGAAGAAGTCTCGAGCCTGAGGATGAAGTACTCAGCTAGGCCTACGGCGACGTGCAGGAAGTCGGGATCCTTCGTCCACATGAAGGACTGTGCGTAGCCTAGAACAGCCCAAGCTTGCCCCCTGGCCCATGTGGACGTCGCGTGAAAGCCCTGCCCCGTTCGTCTCTCCTTCAGGTTGCCAGTCTTGGGGTCAAAGTTGACAACGTGGACAGTGCTGAAAAGTTCCCTCCCTCCTGCTCCCTTCTCAGGTCGCAAATTCGTTGCGATGAGAGTCTTGGCGTGCCTTGTGGCAGCGTGCCAGAGTCCGACATCACCAGTGTGTGATGCAACATAATATAGTAGGTCAAGATTGCACATGGAGTCAATGATGACGAGGAAGTCGTCTGTCTGACTCGTAATGTTGACCCCGTGCTGGGCCAAAACGTCCCACGAGCGGATGGCGCCGACAGTATTGTTGTATCGCGAATACAGCGAGTGGGCTGGCTGTCACGATGGACTTAAAGGCGTCTTTGTCGGGAGCTACCTCCCACCGCACTCGCATCGAGGGCTGAATCATGGATGACATGTCATGGGTATCGGTACGCAAGGCATGGTGTGAATGGGCTCCGCCCATGCTGCACCGAGCTGCCAGAGCTCGTCCAGCAGACGCTCCTTCTCATGGGAACCAGGGAGCGCCTGCGGGTACTTCGTCAGGCGCTCAGCTATCGAGTAGACGCTCCCAGGGAAAAAGCCGCAGGTCCAAAAGTCGGCCTCCCGGAGAATGTACTTGCCAGCATCGGCGCCGGTCTGTGGCACATATTCAGGATACACGGCAGGGGGGTTCTATTCAGGTCAGAATGGGATACCATTACTTCGTTGAGTTACTCACATTGTTGATCAGGCCCTCACGAGCTGTTCGCAGAATTTTGGCTGTGACGTTCTCATCATAGAGGGCTCGGAGACGGCTGGCCAGACTTTCCATGTTTTCTTTTCCATCGCGCAGAGCGTGGTCGCTATCAGATGTGCTCGTCTCGCTTTCGGTGTGAAGTTCCATCGTGCTGTCAGACTCGGCGTAGGCGGCGTGGAACGCTGGGGCCGGTAGAGTGGCAGTGAGAATGGTGGGTGCACTCATGGTCAATCTTCCCTCCTAGCACGGTGTTTAGAATGGTCAAATAGGCGCGATGGTGCTGTGGTCCTGGCTGACTACACAGCTTATATGCTCTCGGTACGGACGGCGATACCATTCTTGGTGCTGCGCGGTCACTTTTGCGAGGGCAAAACGTAAGCAGATCACGGGCGATTGAGACTCCGCGGCTCTCCCGATGATGAACCAGGCGATTCGGGGCTCGGGTGATCAGGGAAGCCAGTTTCACGCGCTTGTTGGCGTGGACAGCTTTGGCCGGCCGGCCGCGTCTTCAACCGCCCACCCGATGCACAACGCCGTTCCAGACTGGGCCACCCCGTGCCGGTCCCACTTGTTCCTCATGTGTTACATTGGTGCCAATGTTGCCGGCATGACTTAGCTTTGAAGAAGCAGCCTCCCGTTCATATTGCTGAATTAGGGGTGTCATATGTGGCTATTGAGCCCTTGAACCTATGGTCTTCCGTTTTATCTCTTCATCGTCAACGGATTCCACGTCTCTAATCCCACATGAAATTTGATATACCTATACACTTAGATACGTCTGTCTCTGTTGGTGATGCGTAGGTTTCGTTAGAGTTCCAATTGTCCCTTGCAAGATCGGACCCTTGCTGCGCCTCGACGTGCCCTTATTGCTCACTGGTACATCTCTTATACTTTTTCAAGTTTCGGGAATCGGGAATTGCTTGCTGCTGACCGCCGACTAAGATTGGTAAAATGTATGACAGGAAAGTGGCATAAGTGAAAATAACACAAGCTGGCGATCAAAGAGTACTATCACAATCAATCAGTCACACCAGAAGCCTGTGCCTTCACATTACTGGGACATTCGGAGGCACAGTGTTGCTGCGCTTTTTGTCTAGTTGATAACAAAATGCATTATCGTCTTCAGAGCGCAAATCTGCAGCCTCAAGCTGCTTGAATGATGACTCGAGCTTTTCTACGCTGGCTAACAGTTGGATATCCCTCGCAACGGGGTACGATTACGCTCTCCTCCGTCGATGATCGGAGGCATTACCGCACACGACCGAAAGCGTTGGGCTTCGCCGGCGCATTATCGAGAATGGCATGAATCTCCTCGAGAATTTCCGGAGTGATCTTTTCAGCCAATTTGACGGCCTTGACGTTGTCGTTGATCTGCTCAATCTTTGTCGCGCCCAAGATGATGGTGCTCACATTCGGATTCTTGAGGCACCATGCCAGCGACAACTGTGCCACGTTTCCGCCCAAGCGCTCGGCAATCGTTGTGAGTTTCCTGACCTTCTCGATCTTGGCTTTGCCCTCGTCGCTTTGCAGGCTCTTGACGGTGTCGGAAAAGAAGTCCTTGTTGGTGGCGAAGCGCGAGTCTTCAGGAATACCATCGTTGTACTTGCCAGTCAGAAGGCCGGACGCCAGAGGCGACCAGATGGTTGTGCCGTACTGGAACTTCTCGAAGAGCGGCGCATACTCCACCTCGAATCGCTCGCGGTGGAACGCATTGTATTGGGGCTGCTCAACGACGGGAGCGATGAGGTTGTACCTTTCGGCGATTTGTGTGGCCTCGGTGATCTGACTGGCACTCCATTCAGAGGTGCCCCAGTAGTAGGCAAGGTTGAGGTTGCGGATGACCTGAGTAAATCCCTCAACAATCTCCTTCATGGGCGTCGCATAATCAGGGCGGTGGGCGAAGACGACGTCGACGTATGGCTGGTCAAGACGCTGGAGGGAGCTCTTGAGGCCCTCGACGATGTGCTTCCAGCTAAGGCCACGAGTGTTCGGTTCCTTGCGTCCGGTGCCAAAGAAGACCTTGGTGGTAAGAACGTATTCGTCCCTGGGCCAATCAAGCTCCTTCAGAGCCTTACCCATTTCCAGCTCGCATTCTCCGTTGGCGTAGACTTCGGCGGTGTCAAATGTGTTGATGCCATGGTCCCAGGCAGCCTGCATGCACTCCTTCACAATGCTGCCTTTTTGCGTCCCGCCGTAGGTCAGCCAGCCTCCAAGAGACAGCACGCTGACCTTGAGACCTGTAGGGCCGAGATGGCGGAACTGCATGTCCTTGGGGTCGTATGCGGATCGAACGGCAGGCATTTTGGCTGTTTACTGTTGTAGTGGCGGTGGAAAATGATGACTTGTCTTAGATTGCGGCATGCTGTGTTCAGTAAAGCGAACCCGGCCAGCCTTTTATTCATCTACTTCCCCTCTCGATGTCATCACCACGACGCCCACGACCGAGGGTATCCACTAATACCCTGGTGGCAGGAAGCTTGACCTCATTGAACTCGCTGGCTACCCCTCCTGGTCATCGTCATTGGATTGATCTATATTATAAATCCATTGTGTGGGGATGTTTAGCGTGGACACGAAGGACCCGGTTCGTTAAGTCCGGCGTCCATATGCTCTCGTCGGCGATCAATTGAAAAGTCCAAAGGTTTGATGTCTCCAAGTTGAACCAAAGGCACTACTTGGTATGAGTTCGGATTGTCAATTGACGTCCAGGTTCCATGCACGTGCTGCAGACCAATCGACACCGCGGCAGGTGCCCTCATGCCCTCGTGTTTTGAAGGTCTAGACGCACGAAAGTAAGCGGCAACGTACTTAACGTACACTGCGATGGCGTCACGATGAGTTCACCATGCTCGTAGAACGTCAACCCAATGAATGCTCTAAGCCGCTGGTTGTATCAAAGGTGACTCTAGGCGACAATGTCCTAGCCGTCGTCAAATTGCCACCTCGACGTAGTCTTGGATTTGATTTGATTTTTGTTCATCAGTGGGTTGTCTAGTCGGCGTTGGAGTATGCTTGGTATCAGTCTATGTCTGACATGTGCCCGTCATACTGACGGTCGCGTTCCACCAACGTGCGAGGCGCTGAGCCATGGCGACGACACGCATAAAAAGGGGATGGAATTTTTGATGCATCCCTATGATGACCGTACCATGGCGCTATGTCTGAGATACGATGTAAAAACAATGTCAAGGGTATCGATCTGTAGGGTTAAACAAATTTGACGCCGAACACCCGCTCCTCATGCAAAATAGCATCTGAAAACCCGCAGGACAAAATCAGCCGTGGCAAATTAGTGCTTCCAAAACTTCCACTTGAGCCCTTTCTGGCTGTCCTCGCCTCGAGCAAGATAGCGCTCCAGAACCTGCCAACCCTCGTCGGGCAGGGTTTCGATACAGTCGTTGAGGTGATCTATGCATGCTCGAGAAGCTGTCGCAGGTTACTATGGCGTTCAACAACATCGGAGCATGAAAACTGAGGCCCACGTACGGATCATATCAACAGCACCGTCCGACTCGGCAGCAATGAGCATGCGTGTGGACTTGTAGCAGTGATAGCGCTGCTGAAGTTCCAGCATGGCCTCCCACAGCCCTCGTATGTCGATGGATTCGTCGGAAGAACAGCGACGGGCATGAAGCATCGACGGTCGGCGAATGTGTAGTGACGTCTGCGCGGGTTCCGCTGCGGCGTCGAGTGTGTCCGGCTGGGGGACATGATCGAAGTGGACAGCCGACGTGGTCTCAATAACGTGCTTTTCCGAGCAAGGGGTTATGAGATCCTCGGGCTCACTGTCACTGGTATCAGACCATGACTTGGGTGAGATGCTCAGACGACTGAGGCGGGCTTGCTGACGATGGGCCATGGAAGGCATATTGTATCGTGGCGAACGATCCCAAATTTTTCCTTTCGGCTTTGAGGGCGCAGAAGTGAGGAGCTGGACCGCGGAGGGGACGGAGGATAAAACGACACAATATATGTTTGGCTGGCACTGGGGCCAGGTAAAGCAGACTTTTGGCCGACGGTCTAGGTTCATCCCTCCGAGGGTGCGCCAGCAATGAATGCTGCAGAACAGGGTGATCCTTACTGATGGGGCTCTGGCGGTGTGTCAGTGCTGCTCAAGCGAAGGCTTATTGGTGGCGGCGTGTTGACGTGTCGCGACCATGCTGTCAGGAAGCCCTTGGAGGGCACGACGAGAAAAAGCAAGACCATTATGGCGCAGCGAAAGTGGGAGGGCCCACGCTCGGGTGGCATGAATGCCGGCAGATGGATGGAGTGCGTAGGGCGGCAGGGCGGGAACCGGGAGGACACGATAGGCCGGGGACTGGTAAGTGGTGGCGCTTGGGTCAGAGGATCACTGACGGCCGGCGTGACATCAAGGTAGGGTGCAGCGAGTGAGACATCGATACCAGAGTCGCTAGAGGTGAGATACGGATGCTTCGGGAGGTTGCGAACACCAGTTGCCAGACGCCCAGGCTGGCAGGTGGACGTCATGGGAAGACCGGAGACCATGTGTCGTGTCTGCAGAGTCCATCTACCTTCATACTGTGGCATTACACGGTGATACTCGAATGAAATACCACGTATTCGGCCAAGATGCATCATCGCTGACGCTACGGCGCGCAGCCGGGCACCCTTCGTTAAGATGCTTGTGAAGATCGTCCTCGTCAGCTTGCGCAAGACAAACAAGGCGTGCTTAGTGTGGCCCCGTTTTGCTGCATCATGGTGGAGAGTGTGGGTAGCCATGAGTTCTAGATGATAATCAAATTTGAAAAGCCTCGTTTTTTTTTTTTTTTATCCCTTGCTCTTTCAAAATTGGGTCTTTCTCAAGCATTGTTCCCACAGGGCTGTCGGACCGGGTTTGGGAAAGCAGCATAAATGTTTCCAAGCAATTAACTAAGTACGCCGAAGCCCAAGAACCGAGGCAGCTTATGAACAGCCAAAAACGCCTGATTCCGCCAGCTTTCAAGCATCAGAGATGATCGCGCCTGTTTCTTCACTTCACATTACAGGCGGGTACTTGCCCAACCACAGTGGATAACGTGAGTGGTGGAGCGGCCTGGATTTTAAACTTGTCTCAGGGGCACGACGACTGCCGTTTGTGGCATGATCACGACCATTCGTGTTTTATAAGTCCATTGTCGATGCCATGCGTGCACGAGACAGAAGACGTGGAAATTTAGTGCCCGAAATAGGGTAGGCTGAGTCGGACATTCGTGATTCAAAGCCTTCGCAAGCATCGCATAATGGATCATGCACATGGTGTTTCTGTCGTCATGACACGGCAGGCATTGTTTTGCCGCTCATTGACAGTCAACAAAGTGACGACCTTCTGCTCAAGACAGCTGTCAGGTGGCCGGTTCAGTTGATGGTGGCGTGGAGACATGAAGTGGTCCCTAGTTGAGTTTGGGGTGTGTCAGTTTTCGGTCGTTGCTCCAGCCCGCTCCTGTAAAGCTATGCGTGAAGTATAAACAGTGCCCGCAGCATAAGAAGATCTTATTTTCCCACATGTTGCGCTAATTTTGTCCTCTTGAGCGACCAACCACCGGAGTGACATGCTGGATGGATGCCTGGTCGATGACAGTAAACAAAGCGGTCGAGCAACAGCTGGAATGCTCTGTGAGGCCCACATTCATGACGAGTAGCCATGCGACGGCCAGACCATTGGCCCCGGAGAATCGCTTCACGCTACTCAACACATCCTCCAGACAGCACGTAGCGATGTCTGCTGTGGCAATGCTTGTGGCGCCGCGTTCTGATACGTCCCGACGCGTCAATCACAGTGGGGGCGGTGCTCTGCCACGCACTTCGCCCCGGCATTCGTTCTGGTTTACGCCATCACCCTCGAATTCGTCCCTTATCGACTTCGGGCGCGTTGAAGACTCTCCAGGCTCTTCGCCAAACTCATTGACGCTGTGGAAAAGGCCACTTGCAACGTGTTCTCAATCGATAAAGGTTACGAATATACCCGTCCATCTTTTCATGTTTGGGCGCCCGGCCCGCGATACGGCACCTGTGACATTGTACATCGCTACTGAACAGCTTGCGAAACATTTCCTCGTCGTCGAGGTTTCATTAGCGCATCTCAACGTCGGGAATGCTGGCATGCTACTGAAGACTTTCCAAAACACGAGCCATGCATCAGACAAGCTCGATGGCCACGATGGGCCGGTATGACGAGGCTGTACCGAAAGGCAGGCTTCCTTTGTTCACCCACCAAGCTCGAGCGGCGTGGATATCCTTGCACTTTTCTTTCATAGCCCTACACACGCTTCTTTGTTTGGCCATTCCTCCGTCTGACCCGGTTCAACGCCTTTTGCGAGCCTGAGCTCGATGGCTTGTGACAGCTTCAGATATCTGCTTAAAAATGTACATTTGCCGACTGGAAACCGTTAAACGTGAGATACAAGACAGCGCCCTCAAGCATATTAATCCTGGTCGAAAATGGTAAACGTAGCTAGCCTTACCGCCTGCCAAAAATGGGCTTCAATCAGAAAGACTACTAGGAGAAAAATAAATCTTGCTACAAACTCCTCTACAAGGTCGGCTACAAAGTAGAGACAAGCCCTGCCTCCACGAATCCGGACCCGTCTAAAGAGGCTAAAAAAGCGCCTTCCCATCAATTTTTGGAATGAAGGCGATGAGAAGAAGAGGGACATGCCAGATGTGGATCTTTCCCCATAGTAGGATGGCCTTGATGATGAGAGACGCGGGTGATGAGGCCAAGATCCAGACTCTCGGGAGTCGCCGCCACCCATTAGCGATCTACAGCGGAGCGTCAATGGGAAGCAGGAGGATGTAGTCCACCCGCTCTACGAGGCTACCTCTTATTTCCACACAGAGAAAAAAGACTTCCATCGGGCGGCTTAGGGGATCTTCCCATATCTACTTAGGAGAACTGACCATGTAGGGAGGTCATGATCACTATTTATGCGACTATGAATGCAGCCCCTTCGCGAGTTTCAGCTTGTAGCTGTGCAGTCTGTTGAAAGCCATCGTGAATAGATAAGGATCCATGGGCGGCATTACCACAATCTTGGTTCTACTTATGTTCTCTACTTATCACTATTGATGAGGGAAGAGTTTCCACGGTGTCGTGTGGTGGCTGATGGTGAATGCGCAGCGTCGTTTATGCACGTGCAACACAGCCGTCACTGGGCGGTGTCAGAACAGTCGGATCAATAGAGTGAGGAGGTCTTCTGCAGGTGACGTCCGCAGTCAACTGTGAGGATCGGAATACATCTGGAATATGGGCCCTCCGCAGCCATTTTACCTACGCTCCCGTTGTCTCAAGACCTCAACTAGCTTCTGAGCCCCCTATTCCTTGGCTCCGCAGGTGCCTCCTGACAGGCGATTATGTATGTCTTCGAAGCAAGTTGGGAATTCACGTGGGTACCTACGTCAATGGGACACGCGGATCAAATAAGCGGTGCAAGTCGCATCAATAGACACACTGCGT